AGGAAGATCATCAGGTACAACAGGACCACACTGAGGCAGGGAAGCACTGGGAACTGAGCACTTAAAAACAGTACCACCTGACCCACTGGATCTTCATCAGATGCTCTTCTCGGAGTGTTCATATATCGTCAAAAGTGAGGGTTGGGTTATGAGTGCTTTGTGGTGTAAATGGGCATTGTTGTCTTGGAAGATATTTAGTAGGGCCAATTCTGGGGTGATGTCTAATACTTGCTTAGTTATTTTACATATTTCTCGTATGGCTGTTGTCCAGAATAGTTGGATTTTGGGGCACTCCCACCACATGTGGAGGTATGTGCCTGTGGAGGTGCACCCTCCCCATCTCCCCCCCTCCCCCCCAATGTCTCAACAAATGAAACTGATTTGTAAAAATGTTACACGGAAAAAATACAAGAGACATTACACATACTTCTGTAAAACAAGAAAATCTTTAATAAAAATAAGTGAGGGTTGGGGCAGATCTGGTCTCCAGTCAGTGCACTGCAACTGTTGTTGGCATCACGGTGGCAGAAGAGAACAATGCATTCCTTGGAGGTGAGATCTGCTGCCCTGCGGATCTTGCCACCTGAGGTGGTTGCCTCACCTTGCCTCATGGGTGGACTGGCCCTGGCACCACCACACGTGAGGAGAGGAGTAAAACCTCCCCACTCCAGGTTCATTGTGAATTAGAATGTGGGCCTTTTAAAAATTTATTACCAAGATTATGTTTGCAGTTAAAATTCTTCTCTGTGTTTGGGCTGCTGACAATGAAGAATCCCATCCCTCATGGGAGTCCTGTTTTCTTGCTTCTTTTTCTTTTTAAGTGACATGATTGCTAATCATGCCATTAATATAATGTATAGTTAGGACTTCAGACTCCCTGATCTAAGTCACCCGCTCATTCTACAGTTGTTGTACTCTATCCAATGACTACTGGAGTGTCGTTTAATGTCTCGGAAGCACCAACAATAACATTAAGGTGTGTTGCCATTTCCACAGCTTTTTTTTTATATACTTTGCTTCTAAAATAAATGACAAATATCAGTGTGGAAATACAATAAGTTTCAGGAACTCATGTAGTATGACCAACTGCTTCTCCAGTCCATTAAAATACCATCTGGAAACACACCATAGCCTCCTCTTTCCTACAAGTTAATGACAGTGAGAGAAACCCTCCTCCTTCTGGTCCATTACCAGATCGAGTGGCTTTCATAATGTTCTGGTCACAAGTGTAGCATACTCCCCAACACAGTTGCTGAGAGATTATGAACATTCCCTCTTCAAGCGCTGATTGCAAAAGAAACCCCTCTTTGTAGGAGTATCAGAAGCAATTGTTTGAATGCTATTCAACTTTGCAGCACCGTTGAAAACATGGGAATGGGGAAGAGAAGGAGAGTGCATCTAATAATCCAGAACAGCATTCCAATGGCATGTGTTTTCCAAGTCTTATTTGTTACAACTTATTCCAAAAAAGTTCCTTCCAATTATTTACATAAAGTCGTCTTGCACATCTATCTGAATGGAAATAGGTGCAATCCAATATCTGTCAGAACCAGGCTGAAAGCAAAATGTACACCAGTTGTTGGATCCACCTGTGGGATACCTAAAAGAAGGCAGTCAAAATCAACTGCTTCTGATTGCTAGAAACATACACAGACAGAGGAATCTGGATCTCACAGAGCCTACAGGAAATCCTCCTTATAAGAGCCAGTCCCACCCTGCCCAGCCAGGTAAAGGGGAGCAATTTATATAAGCTGGTCATGTCCCTGGACTGCTCTCTCTCTGACCCCAGCTACTTGATCTCTTCTCTTTGGTGCTTCATCAATGACTAGGGATGTCGGACACGTGCTGAGTCTGAGTCACAGCTCAGATGCCGATTCTAATCTAAACCACGATATATTTCTCTAACTACATTTTAAGCCTGCCTCAAGACAGCTACTGTGAAACTGAGTGTGTAAATCTATATTTACTAATAAGAAGGCTGTTTTGCATGTTTATTGTTTTAAAGGGAGGAAAAGGGAGAAATACCAGGAAATCCAGTCTGCAATAAAGCATCCTGGATTACTTAAATTAAAAGGCTAAAGCTAGTTTATCAACAGCTTCCCTAGTTTTGCTGACAAAGGGTTGTACTCTGCTGAACTCACAAACATGAGTAAGGAAGGATAATATCTAAGATATCCTCTCCTAGTTTCTAAACACACCTCTAAACCATCCAAGTCAGGGTACCCAACTTGGTGCCCCTCCAAATGTTACTGGGCTCCAGTTTCCATCAGCCCCAACCAGCAAGACCAATGGTTAGGGATTGTGGGAGCTGGGGTCCATCTGGAGAGCTACAGCTTTCCTCTTTATGACCTAGGTGATGTGAGTTTAAATTAGGCTTTTTACATATGCACCTCCATTGGATGTGAAACAATATTTGTCGTCTACTCTGAGTATGACTTAGTGGATTCAATCCAGAAATTTTTATCTCTATGCCCCTTTGCAGTAAAAGCAGCAGCAATGTGGGGACAGGGACAAACAGCCAACACAGCAGAATTTAACCCCTGCTCATCAAATCCTGCTCAGTTTATCAGAACCCAGCACATTGAACCCCCTGCTAAAATAAAGGAGAAAGCCTTGTGATCAGAAAGTGTTTGGCATTGAGACACCTGCTAAAATGAACCCCCCCCCTTTAGCACAGTGCTTTGAATTCCCAACTTAGGGACTTTAAAGCGCCAAATCACCTGACATCACTGTGATGTTGGGTGATTGACAAGTGGATGACACAACCCATCTGTCAAATTTGGCCCATGAGGTCAATCCTGTAGAAGATCTGGTCCACAGCACTGCAAAGGTTTCCTGCCCCTGGTTTAATGGGACTTAGGTGGGCTGACCTTACTCCAGAGCAGGGCTTTTTTTTCCAGCCAGAGCTCAGTACCAGCACTTCTCAGTCGGGCACCATTACCATTCTAAGAGAACAAGGGAGAAGTTCATGATGAGCTCCAGCCCTGCTCCTGAGGGATTTCTTTTTGAGTGTGTAACTCAGGGGTCAGCAACCTTTTTCATCCATGGGTCGGTCCACCATCCCTCAGCCCATGTGGTGGGCCAGACTATTTTTTTTTTTGGAGGGGGGGATGAATGAATTCTTATGCCCCACAAATAACCCAGAGATGCATTTTAAATAAAAGCACACATTCTACTCATGTAAAAACACTAGGCAGGCCCCACAAATAACCCAGAGATGCATTGTAAATAAAAGGACACATTCTACTCATCTAAATACACACTGATTCCCAGACCGTCTGCGGGCCGGTTTGAGAAGGCAAATGGGCTGCATCCGGTCCCTGGGCCTTAGGTTGCCTACCCCTGGTGTAACTGATAAAAGTGCTATAGAGTAACTATTTTATGAGCTGAGGGTAGAAACTGATTGTCCCTGAAAATAATAATAATAATAAAAAAATCATAGTCAGTACATCCATAAAGTACAGATTCTTTCTTCCTGAAAAACCCAAACCATCAAAAAGATTGTATTGCAAAGCTCTGTGAATAGCACCAGTGCTAAACCAATAGCACCCCAACACCTATAAGCAGGTGGACACAGGTGGCGCTGTGGTCTAAACCACTGAGCCTCTTGGGCTTGCAGATCAGAAGGTCGGCAGTTCGAATCCCCGTGATGGGGTGAGCTCCGGTTGCTCTGTCCCAGCTCCTGCCAACCTAGCAGTTCGAAAGCACACCAGTGCAAGTAAATAAATAGATACTGCTGTGGAAGGAAGGTAAATGGCATTTCCATGCACTCTGGTTTCTGTCATGGTGTTCCATTGCACCAGAAGTGGTTTAGTCATGCTGGCCGCATGAACCAGAAAGCTGTCTGTGGACAAACACCAGCTCCCTCAGCCTGAAAGCGAGATGAGCTCCGCACCCCATAATCGCCTTTACCTTTTACCTTATAGCAGGTATTTCACCCTGTACATGGAAACGTGCCGCAGAGTAGATATATTCAGTTCCTGAAGAATGAAGTTCAATGCAATCTCAGCGCATGAGAGCATCTTAACCTTGGAACAGAGAATGAGATGCCTTGCTGAAGATATCTGTTTATATTTCCAAACATCTGGAAAGCTGTGAATGTTTCTGGCTGAACGGTTTAATTTTGTAATTCTCTTTTATTGTGCAACCCCCAGAGTTGTTTTATTGCATTATCACTTAATACTTAATGGAGCTATATAGAGCTTTCGTTTGTGATTTCCAAACACTTGAAAGTAGGTCTTTTGGCTGCCGTCCAGAGCCCTGCGAGGGCACAGAAGTGCTATTGCAGTCTGTGGCAGATGGAGATCTATGCTCACACAAAATGCATCTCTCTTGCCACAGTGGAGAATGGTGTAAGAGAACATTCTCAGCACCCTTGGTGAATTACCATCTGAATGATTATTTGTGGGGGAAGTCATGTCAGTTCAACTGGTATACAGAAAGACTCACACAGCTGGAAGAGAGTCCCGGAATGTGGGGAACATTTGAGATCAGGTGATGGGACATAGATACCAATTCCTAGGGGCCCAGCTCTTGGGGGCCCTGAATCTTTTTTTGTGGGGGAGCAAAGTTTAAAAAATCAGGGGGCATAGGAGGCCAAGTATAGAGCTGAGCATGGCACAGCTTCAGTGGCCAGTGGCGCCTCCTTCTCCTGCCACGTAAGGGAAAGATGGGGAAGCAGCCCCCAGCCAGTGGCAATGGCAGAGAGCATCAGAGAGGAGGAGCTACCAGCCATTGAAGTTGTTGACAGGAACGTGGCTCACCCAAGCGCAGGGGAAAAGTCAGACTCAGAAATTGAGCTAAGTGAGAGAGAGAGAGAGACTCTGCAGAGAGCTGGATGATAGAGTTGAGAAGGGGTAGTTCGACCCCCCCCCCTTCCCGAAGAAGACACTGGTAGCTCTCTTTTTTGTAAATATTTTTAATTAATTTTCATAGATAGTAAACAATAAGGATGCAATAATCAAACCACAATCTAACATTTGAACTTCTAATAAGGAATCCTTCAATTTTACAAGCCTTCTTTTGAGGTTCTTTGAACCTCCAGAGTTCCTTCTACCCCCTTCTACTGGTTCTTTACATCTTACATCAATCTCTGCATTTTGTTATCATTTTTATCCAATTGTTACTGCTTGACATTTTCTAGTTCCTCTACTTACAAGTGTTTAATTGAACCCTGCCAATGTAACAACTTGTTTACAATATTTCTGCACATATACAATAAATTTCCCCCATTCTTTTTTAAACTTCTCATTGTCAGAGTTTCTGAGTTTTGCCATCAGTTTTGCCATTTCTGCATATTCCATAAGTTTTGTTTGCCATTCTTCTATTGTTGGCAACTGTTCTTCTTTCCATCTTTGGGCTAACAGGACCTGGGCTGCTGTTGTGGCGTACATAAATAATTTCTTCTGTTCTTTGGGAATTTTTGTTCCTCTTACACCTAATAAAAAAGCTTCTGGTTGTTGTTGTTGTTTTAAGTTACTTTAAACATTCTCTTCAATTCATTATATATCATTTCCCAGAAATGACACTGTTAGCTCTCAAGAAGCGGGAGAGTTAGGAGGCAGTCAGAGCATTGCTAGGCAATCAGCAGATATGCAGAGGACTGAGAGTGTGTTGAGTAGAAGTTCGGAGGGGGAAGGCCAGCCTCTCAGTCCCCATTCTAGGAGACTGGATAAAGTCAGAGGACAACAGAAGGGCAAGAGGGGAAGGTGGTGATTTGGCATCCTTCCTGCTGTGAAAGGGGTGAAGATTCAGACTGACCAACTCTCGTCGATGTGAGCAGGTGAGAAGCCATGCTCTGGATGTGTTTTTGTAAATAACTGTAACATAAAACTACCAGAGAGTCGTTACTTCTTACTGGGGCTTGCTTGCCTGCCTGAGATCATTAAGCTGTGTTGCCACCGCATCCTCCCAAGGTCCTGAATTTGCATGCACGGTGTTACAGGCACATCATCACCCCAATTTCCCTTTCAAGTTAGCACCTCTGTGATGGGATGAACAAAAGCAATCAGGGCAAGAGGGAAGCCCACCCTTGCAGGAGACCCTTTAGGGCAAGGTGGTCCTCTGCAGCGGAGGGGGGGTGCCTTCACCCCAGCAGTGGATTTTTGTCCCTGCAGGCTGTTTAAATTGCCACAAGACTGAGATGAAGTGGCTAATTTGGCCATGCCATACGGAAGGAAGCAGGAAGGCAACTATATTGCCTGGGATGAAACTTTTTGGGGAATCTGTATAGCAGTTGGCCATCTAAGAACCATAAAAGCTGACTGTTGTTTTGATCCTGGTGTGGCCTTGAGAGGAAAACAGACGTCTGAAAATGATGAAAGAGCTGAGCAGCCACATGAGGATTTTGGTTTCAACTGAAAATTAGTATCTCCCCGTCTGCCTGTTATGAAGAGAGACAGAGAAGGTGACTTATGGGATTTTTGGTTAGATCTCAGTAACCTAATTTCATTGAAGAAAAAAAGAAGTGCCATTCCATTGGGGCAAAAAAAGAAGTCGTCCTGATTTATCATAGGAAAGAGATCTAGAAATTATTTATTATTGACTAATTAACACAGCCCCTATATGGAGAAATCAACCATGGATGTAAAAGTTTTTAAGAAAAATAAAAATAAAACTGAGTTTGTTTGTTTTTTAATTTATATTTATGCTTTTCAGGTTTATATAGTTCACTTATTTTACAATCATTTTAACATTTCAAAACTTGACTCCCTTCCCCCTCTTTCTGCGGTTCCTTAAATTTATTTTGAATATTTTCTGCATATCCAAATTAACTTAAATTAAATAACGGAATTAGCAGGAAACATATTATCAATTACTATTCTATAAAAATAGTCCATTCAACCATGAACATTCATCAGACTGCTTGAAAACATCCACTTCCTTGCTGGTGAGCATGTTTCAGGTTTTAGCAAATGGAAATATGTAATGAGTTTCTCCCCTCACGTTCTGCCACTGCTTATTGAGTGGTTAAGATTGCATTTCTAGACACACCTACTTGGAAGTCAGCTCCAATTCAACTCAATAGGACCTACTTGTACATAGTATTCTGCAGCATGGCATGATCTACACAATATGTCCCCAAACTGATGCCCTCGGAATCTTGTTAGACTATTGTTTCCATCAGCTCCAGCCAGCAGAGTGAATGGTTAGAGATGATGGGAGTTGTAGTCCAGCTAGGAATGAAAGGCTCTCTCACTTTGTTGTTTTTCAAATCTTAAATTCAGCTCTGCAGCAATCTGCAATTATGTTTTTAAAAAGTCCTAAAGACAATTCTTCAGCATTTCAGTCCAAAACACATGTTTTTTGCATGCAGCTTTGATCAATGTACACATATTTACAAGCAATTTCTTATTTTTCAATATTTTCAGTATGTTTATGCACACTTCTGTGTAATATATGCATTTTCATAAACACTGTTTCACTGGAAAATAGCTGGAATACTGCAGTGTCTGGGCGGAAATCGCAAGTGTCTTCTTTGCTTTTTAAAAATAGCTCCAAAACTTCATTTATTATTTTTTGTGATTTTGCCAAAAGAGCTCAACAACTTTGCCCACAAAAGCTCAAAGCAGTGTCCGGATTTTCACTATTTGAAATATGGCAACCCTGTTGGAGAACTGCATTTCAAAATTCAGCTAAGTTCAGATTTCAAGGGATGGCTGTGTTTTGGTTCTCTCATCATCTCAGAAAGTGTGAATTTGATAGACTTGCCTTTAAATCTTCTTTGAGATTACTTAAATCACTGAATTAATAATCATCTAAGTAGTGTCTCAATTTACATCAACCAAACCCCACGTTACTGTGAAGCTGTTCGATGCTGACAATTATTTGATCTTGACAGCCAACCAAATCCAAAACGCATTCACTGTTGTATCCATTATAGATGAGCAGAAGAACAATTGGACCACTCTAGAGAAGACATTGTAATCCTTTCTAATGTTAGCAGAAGTGACTGGATAAAGCAGGCTGAATTCAGGCTCAGCTTGGCTAACTTTACTGAGCCATAACCAGATAGGATGGACAAAAATGTACCTGTAGCAGTGAGACTGCTATAGATAACAGTTTGCAGACAATGTCACCAGCAGATCAGATTAGATCAGGCTGATTTCTCTCCCTTTCAGAGAGACTTCATTAGCACATCTTTCTCCCACTGTGGCTGGGAACAAAAGACCAAAGGCAACTCCCTTCAAAATCGTGATATTCAACTAAATACTTCACTTGTATGATCTAAGGTTAAACACCACATGTCAGCTAGCAGAGAGCACCAACAGGTAACCCATTTAGATGCTTTACTTTGCTTTAGCATACCCCAATTGAATTTTCCAATGTTAAACCCTTAGCAATACACAAAGAAGCACTTTCCGTTTTTGTGTGTGATTAAACAATTATACTTAACAGGAATCACGTGGAGTCATAGAATCATAAAGTGGGAAAGTACCTGTGGCGATCACACAGGGCCCCCGGACGTTTGATGATCTATTGACCCTGTGCCACCACTGTGATTGCTTTCTTCACTGCCACCACCCCTTTTCTCACGGGGACACACGGAGTCAAGACAGTTGTTAACATTAACAAATAACGAAGTTCATTTTCAAAGGCAGGAACAAGTGTATGGTTTCAGTTTATTTTTCTCTTGTCAATCTTAGTTCCTAACAACTCCAAACTGATTATTCCAACTATCCATCTGACTCAACCTAACAATTCCTCTCACTCTCTCACAATACAACTTGACCAACCCACTGCCTATTCCTCCCTCTTCCTTCTCCAATTCCCAAACCTCAACTCTCAACTCCCAAACCTCAACTGATTTTCAAACCTTCCCACTCTAACTTTTACTCCCCCCTAGCATTCTCACTGGCCAATCACATCACACCCATTTTAACCCTTTCCTTATGACCCATCCTAGGAGGCAAACACCACAGTACCTTTCAAGTGTCACCTAGTCCAACCCCATGCAATGCAGGAATCACAGCTAAGGAATCCCTGACAGGTACCCACTAGACCTCTAATTAAAAACCTCCAATGAAGGAGAGCCCACCACCTTCCAAGGAAGTCCATTAATGCACCTGTGGCAGCAAGGGGGAACTGACCGCCATTAAACCATGGCAGCTTTTAGTTTAGGGAATAGAACGTGATGATGGAAGCAACAGTCAGTGCTTCTGGAGGCTCTAACTTCTTGGAGAAAAGCAAGGTGGGAGAGGAGGGAGGAATATGGATCAAGAAGAAGTTGAAACTGCCAGACCAAGTAGTTTAGGGTGGGGAACCTCAGACCAGGTTGAGGAGCCTTTCAGGAGTGCTGTATGGATAAGACGTGGAAGGGGAGAACATGTGCACTGTCTTGGAGTGTGCCTTGCAGAAAAGTTGAGATAAAAACGTAGCAAATAAATACAATTACATATTTCTTCTGTCAGATAAAATATGTTTGCAGCAATCCATCCACTGGAATTATGGGACGCGGGTGGCACTGTGGGTTAAACCACAGAACCTAGGACTTGCCGATCAGAAGGTCGGCGGTTCGAATCCCCGCGACAGGGTGAGCTCCCGTTGCTCGGTCCCTGCTCCTGCCAACCTAGCAGTTTGAAAGCACATCAAAGTGCAAGTAGATAAATAGGTACTGCTCCTGTGGGAAGGTAAACGGCATTTCCGTGCGCTGCTCTGGTTCACCAGAAGCGGTTTAGTCATGCTGGCCACATGACTTGTAAGCTGTATGCCTGCTCCCTCGGCCAATAAAGTGAGATGAGCACCGCAACCCCAGAGTTGGCCACAACTGGACCTAATGGTCAGGGGTCCCTTTACCTTTTATCCACTGGAATGCACACAAGAGAGGAAAGGAACTCCAGAAGTCATGTGACTGGTAAATAAAAGAGCGAAATCCCAGCTATGTTCGGCCGAGTAAAGAACTGTCTTTTATAACCACTGAAATTGGGTGGGCGGGAGAAATAACAATTCCCACAGCCTTCCATTCAAGAGTGTGTTAATTTTCTGACTGGTGCCTGTATTTTTTAAAGCACCTTTCAGCAAATGGAACATGATGACACCTTAACCTGCTTTCTGAATTAAGGGCCTTGACATTTAATGCGCATTGTGTGCACTGTAGCTGTACTATCAAAAAGAGAGACGGGAATAGTCAAACTTTTGAAATTATACCATGCACAAGGAATGTGTCAATATTGTGCCTAGGCTTTTTGGCTAAATGCTTTGCGTGAGCTGCAAGAGACCTACCATCACTCTGCATAATCTCATTTATTTGTAGGTGAGAGGAGATGGGGAAAGGTTATTCATAAGGGCTTCAGCTGGCGGATATTAATATATCAGGCACAAGTTTTATGATGCGGGAGAAATAACATGGGAGGATTCACTTATTCTACCAATCACTCTCCTGTCCTATTACAGATGCAAGCAGCAATGGCTGTCATTACTGAATATCTAGGGCAGATTTAGTGACTCAAAGGTGGAACTTTTGAAGGTAAAAATAAAAACACGGTAAGTTAAAATGAAAACAAAATGAGAACCTTTCTTCAAGAACAGGAAGGCATGCATTTTGTAAAGCATGCATTTTATTTCACTGGGGGGAATTAGATAAGGCTGAAGCTGTAATAAGAACCCCATCAAGAACTTGTCTTGCTAGACCACCCATTCCAGCTGCTTCTTCCAAACAGCAGCCAATAGATTTGTCTGGGAGCTCACAAAGGAAAGTTATTCGCTAACCATTTACCCTTTCACAAAAATGGAGCCTCAGATGAGTGCTACAAGAACTCAAGTGTCTACAAATTCAAACTAGGAAGTAGCGATGTAGGAGAATTTCAACAAAAACAGACACCAGGGAGGAAATTGCTGGTGTTTGCTTAATTGGTCCTACATCTGGGGCAGAAATCAGTTCTGTGAATAGGATTTGCATTCACTTCTGCTGGTGCTTTTGAGGCGCAAAAAATATGTAATAGATTATTCACCACCACCAAACCCTGGATCTGCGTTCTGCACCCCCCCTGCACTGAAATGAATGGGGTAGAGTAATATGGTGCTATAGATTCGGGGTGTACCCTCCCCCCTAAACCCTAGAAATAAATGGTAGGATTTTGATTATTTGGGATGTGAAGGGAGAAATACAATCTGCAGAGGAATTTCTGGGCTAGCCTATGCAAAATGACCTGGCCAAGCTAGGGCCATTAAGAAACAATACAGGGACATTGAGAGCCATTGGCAATGCAAGGGGACTGTCCTCCCTCTTTGCCCTGAGGTATGAACAGAGATTTGGAAGGTTGCCAGTCTAACTGGGTGTGAGGCAACAGGAAAAGAAAGCTTTTAGCAGGGTGTTCTGGGAAGAAGAAGGGAGAGAAAAAAGACTGGCATCCATCTTGGGCAGGCTGGCTGAAGAATAACTGGGAGAGATGCCCTGGACTCCAGGGCTTCACTATTGTGGGGTACAACCTCCTCTTGAAATGACCATGCTGTAAAATATGGACTGCCTCCATGCAGACTGCACAGATGAATAACCATATTTTTTAAAGCTACGACAGTCTCTGCTGTGCCTTAATTCTCCAAAGGAACACAGACCCTAGGGGAATGCCTGGAACCCCCTGGGATCTTGCTATCGCTTGGCAGAGAGTGGGGCTGGCACCCAACTTTTGCAACAATAATGACAATGTAATTTCCCTATTTTCCCACAGTGAACAGAGAGATGAGTAGTGGTTTTGGGTGAAAGATGAACTGCAGTCGAACAGAAGTAGTGCTGCATAGAGTGGTACCTTGGGTTACAAACACTTCGGGTTACAAACGCTTCAGGTTACAGACTCCGCTAACCTGGAAGTAGTACCTCGGGTTAAGAACTTTACCTCAGGATGAGAACAGAAATCATGTGGCTGTGGTGCGGCGGCAGCGGGAGACCCCATTAGCTAAAGTGGTACCTCAGGTTAAGAACAGTTTCAGGTTAAGAATGGACCTCCGGACCAAATTAAGTTCTTAACCAGAGGTACCACTGTATGTCAAATACAAGGCAGAACAGAAAACAGTCTTCTTACATCCTATGTGGAAAATGGACAACCTTGGCATTACAGGAGTAGCCATGCAGTCAAGTAACATTTGGTACACAACATTTGGTACAATTCACAACAGTTGAGGAATGCAGTCAAAGCCTTTCCTCCTTCCTGTAACTTACAGAGTAGATTTCAAAGCATACAAGTGTATTTATGATTTAATATTGTTTTTATTGTTTTTTATGACTCAGGAAGCGATGAGATATAAAATAAACAATGTTGAGTGCATTTCTGGCGACAACCATTTCCCAAGATGGTTGAAAACCACCCAAACAGAAGGATTTAAAAGCCCTTAGTATGCAGACGTGGAAGAGGTACTTTTATTGAATACATATAAGAGTTAATGGCTTTTCTTTTCAGGACACTGAATCACTTACCTGTCAGTTTCGTATAATACAGATGCCATTAGCACTCTCAGCTCCTCCCCAAATGTTCAACTTTATTATTCCAGAAACATTAAATATAGATTGTCAATGTATATTTATTTAAACTCCCTGATGTCTGCATGAGATGGATCATACTTTGCTTATTTCCCATTACAATTTTATTTTTATGTCTTAAAATATAAATGTTTTCTTAGGGATGCTGGCATCCCACTCCTGATCCCCACCACTAAGGAGATAGCTCTGTCGGCCACCTGCTATATTGGGCAAGGGCAGAGGGAAAGGATTGGCAAAGCGTTTCAGAGGTACTGTGTGGGGCCACATTTTGATGCGAGACTGCTTGCAGGATAGCAATTGTCCCTTGATCAAATTGGGGCCACTCTGACTGTGAAGACTACATTATTATTTTTTGAAGCTTCCCAGTCAAATAATTTCTCAGTTCGTAGAACATGAGACTCTTAATCCCTGGTTCATGGGTTCCAGCCCCACTTGGGTAAAAGATTCCTGTGTTGCAGGTGTTGGGCTAAATGACTTTCATAGACCCTTCCAAGTCTACAATTATATAATTATATTATATCATCTGCTGCACATCCTCATTGGTTATACAGAGATCAGTCCATTTTGCTAAACCCATTACTCATTTTTCTAGTCATAAATATAGTTCTCCACATTTTTAAGCAATATGCTTTTTTAAATAAAAAAAATCATAAAAACTTATGAGCATTTTTTGTGTGAATTTTAGTGCATTTCCCTATGCATTTCTTCCTAATTACACATTTTGGCAAATATCCCCCCCCTTAATATGATTTTTCTTATGCTATATTCACAAATACAAACTTTTTAATTTACACTTTAATATGTGCATTTTGTTGCACATTTCTGGGCTGGAGAATTGTCCTGCTAAAGTAAAAAAAAATCAGATCTTGAAGGATGCTTGTGTTTCAGCTCACATGTTGTTTTGGAAAGTACAAATTTGGTAAATTTACCTTTAAAAGCAAACTTAATTAATCACCCTGCATCTCTAGTCCTCACTTTCTGTTCCAGTCATCTCCTTCCCCAGGACATTTCATTCTACTTGGCTGTCACCACCCTATTTTCAGGGTCCCTTCCCCCCCAGTGATATCAACATTTTGTTGCTAGTGACATGTTCATTGGGCTGTTGGGGAGGAATGTCCCCTTAGGGCATCTGTGTACACACACACACACACACACACACACACACACACACACATACACACTCCCCCCCCCCTTTTTGGCAAACTTTAGCGTTCTTCTGAACCTAGTGAAATCCCCCTGTTGTTCCTGTGCATCCCTTATTTGACTCTATCAGCCCTTGACATCTGAGTTCACAATTAGAGGGAGCTAGAGAAGAGAGGGAGCCTCAAAAATCAAACCGAGAGAAAAACCAACTGCAGAAGGTGGTCAACAGACAGGTGTACCCCTACACTGCAGCTTTACTGACCCTAAACTGCCAACGTGGTGTAGTGGTTAAGAGCAGTGGACTCATAATCTGGTGAACCGGGTTCGCTTCCCCGCTCCTCCACATGCAGCTGCTGGGTGACCTTGGGCTAGTCACACTTCTCTGAAGTCTCTCAGCCTCACTCACCTCACAGAGTGTTTGTTGTGCGGGAGGAAGGGAAAGGGGATTGTTAGCTGCTTTGAGACTCCTTAAGGGGAGTGAAAGGCGGGATATCAAGTCCAAACTCCTCCTCCTCCTCCTCCTCCTCCTCCCCCCCTTCTTCTTCTTCTTCTTCTTCTTCTTCTTCTTCTTCTTCTTCTTCTTCTTCTCTGTTTCCCGATACCATTCATCCCTGCCAATCTAATCCATGACACCACTAATGCAAACTCCACAAACACCCCAATGTTATCAAGGTGTATCTTTGTTCTAAACAATGCTAAAGAACTCGTGTTTCTGAAAATTTTTCTTTCTATGTGCACCAGCTGATTTTCCAGGATGCTTTCACTCAAGTATTGTTGTTCTCAAGAGAGCAACTAACACATAAATCCCATAAGTATGTATGCCATGAAATTTATCCAATCCCCAAGCCATCTGAAGGCAAACCTGTATAGGGAAGGATTTTTTGTGTTTTTATATATGTTTGAAGCTGCCCAGAGTGGCTGCGGCAACCCAGTAAGATGTGTAGGGCATAAATAGTAAAATTATAAGTATGGAACGGGACGTCCCTATTTTCATTGGAGAAATGTTGGGGGGTATGTGTAAGTTTTGTACAAGTTATCAGGCACTCTGAAAATAGACTGTACATGCTTAGGGGTTCTGCAGACCATTGGGGAGGGACTATGTCTCAGTGGCAGACCACATGTTTCACATGTAGAAGGTCCCTGGTTCCGCTGCTGACATTTCCAGTTAAACTGATCTGGTAACAGATCAGGTGTTCGGTCATTGGATAACTGCTGCCAGACTGAGCTAGAAGCCTAAAACAGTAAAGGAGATGGACTATCATTCTCTAAACCTCCTGTGACAACCAGCTTAAGAGTTTAGGAAAGCAGCTGTTGTGCATCCCCATATGGAGCTTGTACTACATCTCCTTTCTATCTGTTTCTGGAAGCATGTTCCATATTTCACCTGCACCCAGAGTATTGTTCATGACAGATACAGCAGATTTCCCCTCCCAGCAACAAATGCCTCTATAGAAATGATTTAGCAGGCTAGACAGGAAATGCCACAGAGCGGTTTGCCCAGGGAAAATTTCACATCTGGTGCAGGGGGCAGCCAAAAAAATGATTTCCAAACCCAGCAAAATGTAGCAAACCTCAAAAAGAATTCTATTAAATGATCCCCAAAATTCAAGTCTGCAATAGGGTTGCCAAACCTTCAAAATTTCCCAGCCATAGCTGGTCTTCAGCCCTTGTAAACAGCGTCTGGGCAACAACTCTCAACTTTGGGCAAAAAAGCTAAACAACTTTGCCAAAAAGAAAAAGGTCTGAAGTTTCACGTTGCAAAATATGGCAACCCTACAACAATGAAATGCAGAGAAATCATGTCCCTTTGTTCTCAACACACTGATGGTACTTTTATGTTGTGTTTCTTGAAATTAAAACTTACCTAAGCTGGTGTCATCGATTTGCGATTCCTCCTCCTCCTCACCACACACATACATGGGCTGCTGTGGGTGAAATCAAAAGGCAAGATATGGTTTAAATGATTCATAGTACAGTGTATGTACTGTAATATAAATGAAATAATTAGAAGTCAAATTGCCTATTGCCTGGAAAATTAGACTTATTACCACCTTTCAGAGCAGAGCTGTATTAGCATAATTATTCCTCTGAACCACTAATTTACTCCATTTGATGTCTACACTTTACATAGCAAAGAATTCCAGTATCTTAAACTTTGTTTAATCCTCTATTACCCTTCTTTCTCTATATTAATTAATATTTGTTTCCTACCTTGCTGCTGCTCTTTTCTTATGTGCTCATTGGTATCAGCCTATTATTAATATTATTAGAAATAGTGCCAGCAATGCTTGTAGCACTTTGCGGAGAAAACAGGTTTCCCAAAGAAACCATCTAGTAGTTGGCTCTGCTCCCCATCACAGCTCCTGATCCTGCTACATACTTGGTGTGGTGATTTTGATGCTGTATTCCAATCACGTGTCTCCTTAGCAGTTGTCCTAACCTGGCTTTGGGGCAGGCAGCAACTATTAGGTGGTGAGCCAATGAAACAGACAGGGGTAAGAGGCATAGCTGTCAACTTTTCCCTTTTCTTGCGAGGAATCCTATTTGGAATAAGGGAATTTCCCTTTAAAAAAGCCTTCCTGGAAAGATACCCTGCACTTCCTTTTGCAGGGCTGGGAGCCATGTGGGACACAGTCACTGCAGTAGTAATAATAATAATAACAATAATAATAATAATAATAATAATAATAATAATAATAATAATTAATTGTATGTCACCCATCTGACTGGGTTGCCCCAGCCACGGTGGGTGGCTCCTGACAGAATATTAAAAACACAATAAAACATTAAACATTAAAAACTTCCCTAAACAGGGTTGCCTTCAGATGTCTTCTAAAAGTCAGATAGTTGTTTATTTCCTTGGCATCTGATAGGAGGGCGTTCCACAGGGTGGGTGCCACTACTGAGAAGGCCCTCTGCCTGGTTCTCTGAAACCTCACTTCTCATAGTGATGCAACAGCCAGAAGACCCTCAGAGCTGGACCTCAGTATCTGGGCAGAATGATGGGGGTGGAGACACTCCTCCGGGTATACAGGGCCAAAGCCATTCATGAAAGAATAATAATAATAATAATTTATTATTTATACCCCGCCCATCTGGCTGGGCTTCCCCGGCCACTCTGGGCGGCTTCCAAAAGAATATTAAAATACTATAATATATCAAACATTAAAAGCTTCCCGAAACAGGGCTGCCTTCAGATGTCTTCTAAAAGCCTGGTAGTTGTTGTTCTCTTTGACATCTGGTGGGAGGGTGTTCCACAGGGAAGGCGCCACTACCGAGAAGGCCCTCTGCCTGGTTCCCTCTAACTTGGCTTCTCGCAGTGAGGGAACCGCCAGAAGGCCCTCAGTGCTGGACCTCAGTGTCCGGGTAGAACGATGGGGGTGGAGACGCTCCTTCAGATATACTGGACCAAGGCCGTTTAGGGCTTTAAAGGTCAGCACCAACACTTTGAATTGTGCTCGGAAACGTACTGGGAGCCAATGTAGGTCTTTCAAGACCGGTGTTATGTGGTCTCTGCGGCCGCTCCCAGTCACCAGTCTAGCTGCCGCGGTCTGGATTAGTTGTAGTTTCCGGGTCACCTTCAAAGGTAGCCCCACGTAGAGCGCATTGCAGTAATCCAAGCGGGAGATAACCAGAGCATGCACCACTCTGGCGAGGCAGTCCACAGGCAGATAGGGTCTCAGCCTGCGTACCAGATGGAGCTGGTAAACAGCTGCCCTGGACACAGATTTGACCTGTGCCTCCATGGACAGCTGTGAGTCCAAAATGACTCCCAGGCTGCGCACCTGGTCCTTCAGGGGCACAGTTACCCCATTCAGGACCAGGGAATCCTCCACACCTGCCCGCCTCCTGTCCCCCAAAACAGTACTTCTGTCTTGTCAGGATTCAACCTCAATCTGTTAGCCGCCATCCAACCTCCAACCGCCTCCAGGCACTCACACAGGACCTTCACTGCCTTCACTGGTTCTGATTTGAAAGAGAGGTAGAGCTGGGTATCATCTGCATACTGATGAACACCCAGCCCAAATCCCCTGATGATCTCTCCCAGCGGCTTCATGTAGATGTTGAAAAGCATGGGGGGAGGACAGAACCCTGAGGCACCCCACAAGTGAGGGCCCAGGGGTCTGAACACTCATCCCCCACCACCACTTTCTGAACACGGCCCAGGAGGAAGGAGCGGAACCACTGTATAACAGTGCCCCCAGCTCCCAGCCCCTCAAGACGGTCCAGAAGGATGTTATGGTCGATGGTATCAAACGCCGCTGAGAGATCCAGCAGAACTAGGAAACAGCTCTCACCTTTGTCCCTAGCCCGCCGGAGATCATCAACCAGTGCGACCAAGGCAGTTTCAGTCCCATGATGAGGCCTGAATCCCGACTGGAAGGGATCCAAATGGTCTGCTTCTTCCAGGCGTGCCTGGAGTTGTTCAGCATAAGGACTGAAAAGAACTATCTATGTTTTGGGCTCACTGAAAAGTGATAGGTTGCTGCTGTGCTTCTTTGCAGACCTAGGAATTGATTGTAAAGTATAATAATAATAATAATAATAATAATAATAATTTATTATTTATACCCCGCCCATCTGGTTGGGCTTCCCAGCCACTCTGGGCAGCTTCCAAAAGAATATTAAAATACATCAAAATGTATGTATGTATGTATGTATCTCTCTAGGGAAGCCTAGCTCATCTCATGAGACCTACTGGACTAGATGAAGAATAAAGTCATTTCTGACCCAGTACTGTTAGAAAGTTACAGCTTTTCCTCTACAAACCATCTCTTGCAGTTCTCAAGAGGAATTGGAGGTCAAACTAGGGCACATTTGAGGATGGTGTGAAATCAGATAATTAGTGATAAGGTAAGCAACCTTCTCCAACTATCGTATTTTTGCAGCTTTTAAATAGGCACTGGCTATAACATGCTGCTATAATATTAATACAACCTGCCCACCAACTTAATAGGGTGAAATTACTTCAACATATTTTGCCAAATACCAAAATAAACTTCGTTTACTAGCAAACTTCAATCTGAATGCTTATGAGTTAGGAGTCAATAATGCAATATGAGCACATTGCATCTTGCATACAGGTTAGTTTATTATTATCGTTATTATTATATGGTTCGGTTCAAGGTGAGAAGGCACAGAAGTGAAAAGGGGGCTTCATATATTGTAGCTATCCAAATTGCAGCTGAATAACAGTGGTTCTGATGCAGATTTCATTCCTATTCAGGCATTCCTCTAAAAATGTGATGAGGAATGGGGCTGTACCCACTAGACGCATGCCAGTGTCCTTGCCTCGCTGGGCTGCAGCCCAAAATGTCTGCATGTTTGGTGGAAGATATGAATGGGGACTTCTCATGTGTTTAGCTGAGCATACTTGGAATCCACCCCACAACCAGGAGCTCCCATTACACAGGATCCCTGATCATTGAGAGGCTTCTGAGCATATTCAGGTGAATGTGTGAAGAACGACCCTCCATTAGGGATGGAGCCAGCAAAGTTGGGACACATGGAGCCCTGGGAGCAGAAGTAGTGCAAACAGATCTATATAACCTGACTAATTATTCCTACCATATGTTCTTCATAGGGTAAGCATAGGATAATGTGTTTAAATACATCTTTTGACCACGCATAAAAATTCTGGTACCTGAGTGGGACATGAGGCAGAGTCCTCTAACAAGGGAGAGCCAGTTGTCTGGGGTCAGTTGGGTTTGGATCCTAACACAAATCACCTAAGGTATGTGAATACCTATCCTTCTTTATGGGTCTAAAAGTTCCACTGGCTGCCAGCATGATACAGGATTAGATTCAATGTGCTTCTGTCGGTTTATAAAGTCCTAAATGGCTTGTGACTTAAACACTTGTAGTAGCCCCTTCTCGCCTACAGAAATGACAGCATTAGTGGTTTTGACTGGATGGTTAAATAGAGGTTGTAGGAAGGGGGGTGCGGTGGGTGCGGTCTGCCCCAGGTGTCATGACTGAGGGGGGTGACAAAATGGCAGGCCCTTGCATGGAAATCCTCATCGTAAGCAAAGGCCGCTGCCTCCCCTGCCATGTATCTAGACTTAAGAATGATGCTTTGGTAATTAGCCAGCTGGATAGGCAGTTGACACCAGCCCCATGTAAGTGGTGAATGCAGTCATCCAATTATCAAATGTGCATTCTACATCCACCACCTTGTCTTTTTTACGACGTGGCACCGACTTAAATTTTGTGCTGCATGAAGATACCAGAGAAAGCAAAGAGAATAAATCCATGAACTCACCAATGAGGATGCGTGTGCATACCTTCCTCTTCAGACGGACACCTGGAGGCTGGTCAGTGCGCTAAAATTGAAGTCACGAACCCTCCACCTGGCGTCCAGCCCATCCTCACCGCATGGTGCAGTAGCCCCAAAGGCACAGTGATGGTGCCAGGTTCTATGTCCCCCAATATAGCTTGGAAGCCCAGAGGACTTGTGCGTGGTGACCCAATACCCCTTGCAGTGTTCCTCTGACTCACAACTGGAGGAAAGATCCAAAGCGTCCAATGAATCTCTCTTGCACTTGTGACCGTGCTTTCTAGACCTGCACGTTCTCTTCTTCCTGTGGTGCACTCTGCACAAGTCAGGGCTGGAGGAACTGTTGGAAGAACTTATAACCGGTGACCTATTCTTACGCCTACCTTTGCAAGAGCAGTGCCATGGGGACTTATCTAAGCGGGTCTCAGCCCATGCCAGACGCTGCTGCAAGTGGTGATTTAAATGCTTTAAGTTGTGAACTTCCTCCCTGCTTGACTGAGAGGTGCCACCCTCCAGGCTACGGCAGTCAAGGGAGACATCAGGTGACAAACTATACCTCTGCCAATGGCTGGTGGCTAATAATTGGATAGCTTTTCTTGCTAAGCCCCACACCTGAAGTGGAGGGGCCATCTAGCCTTCTTGGCTAGTCGGCCACCTTTGTTAGGCCCAGCCCCTGCCAAGGGTCTTTGCCCTTGGCACGTAGGATAAGGGCGACCTTCCTGCTGGGAGACAGGACCCTTGATCTTATTTGCTGCCTGCACAGTGCCCCTCACTGTGCACCTACACATATGAGGGGGAGAGATATCACTGTGCCCAGTTGCCATAGCAGGAGACATGATGGCGTAACCAGCATGTGAAAACAAGGAATTACCAGCTACTTGACAATGTAACACTGTGGAAGCAAGCTGAAATCTACCTAACAGTTGGATAACTAAATGAAGGTCTAACAGACAGAACCAGCAACCTTACTGCACACATGCCGCTAAAGGAAATCCTGAAAAGCAAGCAAAATAATACGTTAAGATTGCTGCATTCTCATACGCTTGAAGCAAGAACTGCACCAACCAAGCCATGTGTTGGTGGCCAAAACTGTAAGCCACCAGGAGGCAGCCCATGCAATGCAATGGGCCAGGAATGAAAGGAGTGGTTAATTATATCCTATTAATTAAGAGACAGCAACCAGCGACCTATGTACGTGCAATAAGTTAGCAGCAAGAACTGCACCCCCAAAGCACCCCCAGCAGGCCAAGGGTGGGAGGAAGGGACTGTCCTGGCGCTGGGAGGAGACCCCAGGCACCTTCTGAATCCCCCAAACCACCCCCGCAAGTGGTGCCAGTCGTGGAAGGCCTAAGCAGGCCACCAAGCAGCCCAGAAGCAGGCCGTGTGGTCCCAATTCCCATCTGATACCGGGGTGGGGGGAGAATGGCTACAGCTGCGGGAGGCCTAAGAAGGCCTGAAGCCGCGGGGGGGGCAGGAAGGCTACCCTGCAGCCCAGTAAAAGGCCACTCCGTGTCCGCAGCCCCGATCCTCCCACCATATAAGGGGGGCCAGTGCCAGTTGCGTGAGTCCTGGAAAGCCGACATGCGGCCCAGCAAAGGCCGTGCCATTCGCGCAGCCCCGTTGCCCCCCCAGATGACGGGGGGTGGCGCTGACCACAGGAGGCCCCGAGGCCACCCCACAGCGCAGAAGAAGGCCGTGCCGCCCGCCGCTAGCCACGGGAGGCCTCTGTAGGCCGTCCCATGGTCCGAAGTAAAGCTAACTTCCCTTTCCAGGACAGAAATCCAGGGACAAACCTGGAAAGAAAATGAAGTGAGCCTGGGCCAAAGAGCATTGGCCCTTTTCTGGCCCTCACCCCACCCCCCAGCTGGAAGCCCATTGGCCTGCTGAGATGGGGGTGGGGCAACGGCCACCCTGTAGCAAGGTGTGTAGCACCTGGCCAGGTAAGCCCACGTGGTGTCGCAAACCCTGCCCACCTCTTGGAGGGCGTGAGCTGTCTTTTTTGCTGATTGCTATATGCTCTTCTCCTGGGTACATTTTCTGCCCTGTATGCATTTACATTGTGCTGTTGCCAATTTTTGTTTTATATTAGCTTTGTTTTTGTTGTGCCACACCCATAGCTGTCAACTTTCAGATTTGAAAATAAGGGATCAGCAGCCTCACCTGTCCCGGGGACAGTCTACGGGATATCTAACAATCCGGGATAACAGTGGGAAGCAGTGGGAAACGGCGCTGGAATAAGGGAATTTCCCACAAAAAAAGGGAAGGTTGACAGCTATGGCCACACCCTGGGCTTTTTGTGAGGGAGGGTGAGTTGGAAATGCTTTTAAGGGATACATAGTTCTGGCCTGAAACATAGTTTAGCAACCCCTCTTTTTCTGCAGTCAAAGGCAGGCAACGTCCAGCGGGTTTAACAAATTCCTACTGATTTCTCTGGGATTTGCGCTGTGAACCTTGATCAGTCGCCAACAGATCTACAGAAGGAAAATTTAAACCAGCTCCAAATCCAGAGGCTAGAGGGCAATATAAGAAATAACACAATTCCCAGCTGGGGCAGAAAAGCAAAGTTTTCACAAGGAATTTATTCTGTTCAGTTAAATATTTGATTCAAACTCCTATTCATGACCCAGGACTTATAATGAACTGTTGACAGTGAAAAACGCAGCACTAGAACACTCTAGGTACAGCTAGCGCCGTTTTATTCATGGAGTAGGTAGGTTGATTAAAAAGGGAAGCACATGGTTGAATTTAAGTCAGTCGTTTTAAGACTAAATGAGAACTACATTTCAAATTTGTGATGAAAATTGAATTGTGGATTTAGAGGCCTTATCTCAGCTGAATATCATAATGAGAAAAATAAACTGGAGTGAGAGGAAGGTTTATGTAATAAGAATGTCCTGGAGGGGATATCATTAACAATTTTTAAAGAGCCCTGGAGAGTAGTGGGAAGACCAGCACCATTTGTTTTTCTCATGTCCTAGGATGAGGACATGGGGGAGAGTATATCAGGGAACACAGCTGGGACTGCCTGGTATCCTACGCCTTTTTACTTGCATACTATATGGAATTGTCCTTTGAAATGCTGATTGTAAAAGGTAAAGGTAAGGCGACTATGGGGTTGCAGCCAGTGGGGTAGCAAGGTCAGGTGGTACCTGGTGCAGAAAATGTCTTGTCACACCCCCCCACACACATTGAAATTATTAAAAGAAGGGAAAATAAGATACTTGCAGTTACAAGTGTTATTTTCTACCACCTCTTCTTTTCTTTCCTCCTCCTCCCCCGGCTACAACAGCAGCAGCGCCGCCCCCAGTGTCTCTCTCATCCTTTACCTTGGGGAAAAAATATTTTTAAAAAACATATTTTTGCCATTTTGTCACCCCCCTCAGAGATGACACCCGGGGCAAACTGCCCCCCTGGCAACCCCCTTTCCTACGCCTCTGCCTTCAGGTGTCTTCTAAAAGTCAGATAGTGTTTATTTCTTTGGCATCTGATAGGAGGGTGTTCCACAGGGCAGGTGCCACCACCGAGAAGGCCATCTGCCTGGTTCCCTGTAACCTCACTTCTCGCAGTGAGGGAACTACCAGAAGGCCCTCGGAGCTGGACCTCAGTGGGTGGGAATGGGGGCTGAATGGTGGAGACACTCCTTCAGGTATACTGGGCGTACTTCAGGTATTAAACCCTGTGGAGGCCCCTTGGCAGTCAAAATCTGGGCGGGGGGGCAGGCCTCATGTGCACACTGGAATAACATTGAACTAAGAAAGCTTGATTGTCGTTTTCTTTCAAGATCAAATCAATATTATTTTGATCCATTGTCGTGGGACCCCTAAAAAGTGTGGGGCCCAAAGGCCAGTGCCTCCTCTGTCTATTTGGTAATCCAGCCTGGCCCCTTTGAGGCCTCGGACCATCGGCTGGGTGAGGACTGCAGGGTCTGCTCCCTTCCAAGGCCTTCCAAGGTTAATTTTAGTATAATTGTTCTGTTTTTGTTTTTTGTTGTTTTATTGGTTCTGTGTAGTTTGTGTTTTGTTTTTAAGGGGCGGGATCAGGGCTGCCTGGGAGTGGGCCCCAGCCAACACGATGGCTGGGACAAGGTCCACAGGGGGGGAAGCACGGGGACATCCGATCTCGGTGATCATGGGCAGGAGGTGGAGTTACGCTAAGGCCAGACCATGTCATTACCGAGGAGGCAGGTTTAGTCGTTGTTTGAGGACTATCCCTGCCTCCGGGTCTGGCCTTGACCGGATGGATACTGGAATCAACAGGGGAAACCCACATGACCTGAAGGTGTTGCTGTGTAATGCCAGGTCAATTATGACTAAAACCACTGCCATCCACAACCTGATTGTGGATGGAGGATTTGACCTGAGTTTGGGATCAGGCTTGGGTGGGAATTTTAGCTTAGAAAGGAGGGGGGATTTTTTGTAAAGATGTGCAGACTGTAAGTACCATTCCTTTGCTTTCTCTTGGTCTCCTGGGGGCGGGGTGTGAGTCCTGGGGTCCCCTCCACAGCTTAAGCTCTTTGGTCCACCAGGGAGCTTCATGGCCGAGTGGAGATTTGAACCCTGCTCTCCCAGGTCCTCCCAGTCCAGCCCTCCAACCACTACACCTCTGCCTGGCTCCATTTTGCATCTCTCCAGCTGCCCTACGACATTGGCCGTCTCCCCCTTCCTGGGGGTCTCTCTGGCTCCAAGGAAGACTCCACCCCCTTCCTCATGTTCTGCTCCTCTTCTGGGACACCTTGATGCTTGGAGGACCCTCCTAGGGGTCTCCTCCCTCACCAAGGAAGGACAGGGCTGTCCTAAGAAGACGAGGCAGAGCAGCCCTTTAACAGCTGGCAATGCTTGTCTTTCCTTTGGGCTGGAACTCTTGAACCCATAGCACTTGGGTCCTCCTTTCTCTCTCTGCCAGCCATTCGTGCTCTGGGCTGCCTCTTTCCAGCTCTGCCGATGCCCTTTCAGGTCGCAAAACTGCAGAGAGATGGCAGGAATTGGGCCAGACGCCCCTCCTCATACACACACACCCCGAATTGGGGCTGCCAGCTTCTGAGTCGCTCTCTCTGCTCGTCTCTTCTAGGTTCAGGCGCTTAAGGCACCTGATCAGCTGCAACAAGGTGGCCCCCTTGGAAGTCCTGGAGCAGCCTGCAGTGTCAGGTGACCAAGTGGCCCTCCTTTTGGGGACGGGGGAGGGCAGGAATGGGCTAGGGTGGCATCTAGTAAAAAGATGCACAGAGCCAGACGGCTGGATCCAACCCTCCTATCTGTGACAGCATCTGGAAACCCAACCACCCCCCCCCCCAGCAACCACCCCATTTTGTGGGGTCTGTTGGAGGAAGCAGGGGGCTGGGCTGTGGGGCAAGGCAGGGGGACAGTTATCAGTGGGAGGGGCATCTTCCCTGGGGAGCCATGTTCTGGGGGCAGGAGGGCAGGATTGGCCCCCAAGGCCTGGGGTGTCCTTCTCCTGTACTTGGAATCCTGGACTTGGAATCCAGGAGAAAACTCTTGGAAAAGCCTTGCAAGGGGCTCAGGGATGAACTCACCTGTCCCCATGTCCTTCTCTTTGCAGATGTGCTAGGAATCCACATCCCTTCCGTTGTGGTGAGTATTGGATAAAACGAGAGCAGGAAGGGGATCCCTCAGACCGGCCCCCCTCTTGCACTCCACTCTGCACTCTCAGATGTGGAGGAGCCCTCCCCCCGCAAGGAACTGACAGCCTGACTTTTGCCTTTCAGCTGCTAGACAAAGATCAGCTGTATCTCCTGGGCATCATCCAGGACTGCCAGGCAGCTCGGCTCAGGGGGCTCCGAACCCTGAAGTACTCCAAGGAGGAGACAACCAAAGCCATTCTGGTGAGTGATGGGTGGTGTGAGGGACCCCCATGGGGAGGGAGGGGCAGAGAGGGGCTGGCGTTTGGGGTTGGAGCCGTCCTCTGGAGACTCCTGGAAGGAGCTGACTTTCCTCCTCTGCTCTCTTCTAGAACATCCTTGGCCACTTGGAGTACTTCAGGGATCGCCCCCTGAGCCTGGCCCTGGCCTTCGAGGCCCTCCTGCAGTTGAGGTGAGTGGGGTCTTTGGGGTGGGTGCGGCTGCAGGGGGGCAGAACTCCAGGGGGAGCTTTGGGTGGGCAAGTCAGGCAGGAGGGAGAAGGGTCAAGGGAGACTTGGAGGAGGCAGTGTCTAACCCCTTCCCTTTCTCTCTCCAGTTTTATGAGACCCCACTTCAGTCCCTCTATGGTGAGCGCAATCCTCCATAGAACAACAGAGGCAGTTCTGGGGAGCGCAGAGGAGGACAAAGAGGTATGTCCTCTGCTTTAAGTTCTCTTTGCACAGCTCTTTCTTCTTCCCACACTCTTACAAAATTTAACCCAGCAGCACTCAACCTCTCTTCTCTCTTTTCCCACAGGAACTGAAGAGGCCATTCCAGAGCCTGCTGGGGGGTCTCCTCCTAGAAGCCCCCAATATTGGCACCCTTCTCCAGTTGCTTACCGTAAGTATCCTGATAGCATCAGGAGTGGTTTTAGGGTTGCCCCCCCAGTCCCTTACCCAAATGACTGTCCCATTTCTTTCATCCCGCAGGACCTCCGATATTACGCCCTTTTGGGGAGTGAAGACCAAAGGAAATTAGCAGCCAGCAGTATATCCCTGCTGCTGGCCCTTTCACAAAGATTCCCGAACCTAAGAGTAAGTATTTTGCATTCCTGTTTTCAGTTCTTTGGTTGCTTCCATCCTTCCTGGGTGGGGCTGCTTCTCTTACACCCATCCAGGGTGGGGTTCATAGTGTCAACTGACTCAGATTTGTCTTTCCTCTGCAGAACACAGTAATTCAGTCGGACCTGACTTGTTTCAGGAATAATCTGAAAGAAGGTAAGCCCCACACCTTGGGGACAGTGAACTCCCTGTCCCTTGTTTGCCCAAGACACACCTCCCAGGTCTTCTTGCTGGGAGTCCTGCAGGACCTGCTCCCTGCCTGGCAGGCCTTTCCCACCTGGCCTGGGAGGGCAGCACCCAGACTGACTCCAGCTACAAGAAGCCCGAGAGGACTGAACAGATTTTCTCTCTTTTTCATTCTTTTCCATCCAGATGACATCATCATCGAGGAGTTATGATTTTCCTCCTTGAAGGAATTGCTGCTCTATTTGGACGTCTCAACTGGCCAGAAGAAGAGGCACTCACTGAGAATCAGGAGGGGGACAGATGATTTAAGCAGCCATGAAATATGGACTGAGATTGGGCAGAACAAGAAAGAAAGAAAGAAAGAAAGAAAGAAAGAAAGAAAGAAAGAAAGAAAGAATCCATGACAGATGGTCATCTAATCTCTGCTTTAAAACCTGCAAGGAAGGAGAGTCCATCACCTTCCAGGGGAGTCCATTCCTCTGTTGAACAATGTTCAGTTGGAATCTCCTTTGTTGTATCTTGAAGCCATTGGTTCGAGTCCTACCGTCCAGAGCAGGAGAAAAAAAGCTCGCTGCATCTTTCAAGTGAAAATGGCTCTCTCTGGTGTCACTGGATCAAGCTGATCGATTTTCTTGCATTCCTTAACTAAATTGTTTTTAATGGATTTTGAATCAACGTGCAATAAATTGTTACTGTTTTGAATTTCATTGTGTTATTGTCTTCCATTGATCTGGGCACTTTTCTGTTGTTAAGGGGGCTGGAACTGTAGCTCTTTGAATGGTAAACTGCAGTTCCAAGTATCCTCGGGGAGAAGCAATGTGTTTTAAATGTATGCTGCTTAAGTTTCGCTTGCATCTTTTAAGTGAGGGACCAGTGATAGGATTTGCTTCCAACTTCATCTCCATCAGGGCCTCCATGTAATTTGGGTCCAGAGGAAGAGAACAAGCAAATAGTGGTGAAACAAATAGAGGCATTCAGGGAGGGATCACTTTGAAGAAAACTTACCCAAGGACCAAGAAAATATGGGTTTTTATTTGTATTGGGAGTGATCATCTTTCAAAGACTTATTAAAGTAGACTTGGCCTTTACATTGCACCTTTTCCTGTGTTATTACTACAATAGAAAGTGTTCTTTAAACAAAAAAACAAAAAAAAACTTTTTGCCCAAGTGAATCATACGACAAGCACTCAGTAGCTCTTCCATTCTCAAAATCCCTACAAGAGTTAAGTAATTTCCTTTATTCAGTTCTGTAATTGTATCTTGTCAATTCAGCGGTATTAGGGTGTGGGTTGAATTGGTTTTTTGAACGATAACTTCAGGGGAATAAGGGTTATCTTTTGCTGTCTGCTCTAAACAAGGCTTTGCAGTACAATACTACATGAAAAAAATAATGAAATGAGTTGTCTGAACATTTGGGCAGAAGTCATATCCATAGGGACATTCTGACTAACCACTTGGCTCATGTGTTGCCATTTATTCAGTTCATTATGCCTATAAACACACACACACACACACACACAAATTCTTTTCTGTAAATCCAATTTTAATGCCTTAGACTTTGAAATTGTAGAGTTTGAAAACTATTGAGGAAGCTTATGCATATGCTGCTTAAAAAAACATCTTAGCCTGTGGCTATATCTGAACTTTGCAAGAGTTCTCAGAAGTCATCTGAAGGCCACATATTCTGTTTCTGATGTAATTCAGATAACTGAATATGGCATAAAGGCATCTGATCCACATAATTATGAGATGTACGGTCTTGATGACATTGAATTTCATGAGCACAGAACTGTACACAAGGAGAGTCGTACCAATAGGAACGAGCAGCATTAGAGAGGTCGTAATGTTCATTTATGCCGTGCCTTCCAGATATGCCGAACATAATTAAAATTGTTAAAAAGATTGGGAACAATGGTTAAACCCCTTGCTGATATATTTCAAATCATCCAGTGATCTATGAGTAGATCCCAAACAACCTTTTGCTTGCCCCTGTGCTAAACCAAAAATGATCCAAACCTAATCCCTCTCCGTCAGTCCTGCTCTGATTTAATTTTGATCCATATCCCAGGGCTTAACCCACAACTCCTCTTGTCCTCCTGCTTTCTCCTGGGGAAACCTGTTCTTTAGCACTCAATCAGAGAAAACGGCAATTGCGTTTTCTGCAGATAGAGTTAAAGAGCAGATTTTTCCTAGGGAAGGAACAGGGCAAGGAGAAACTGCTTAGACCCATGCCTAGAAAGTGTGAATTACGTAGAAAACTGTGCGGATCCGTACTTTCAAGGCACAAGACGAGCGGAAGTGGGCGAACCCCTTGTCTAACATTGTGATTGTACCCTGCAGCAACTTTTAGCTTGAATGGCAACTGAACATAGATAGCCCACTTTATTTACAGCAGGGCTGTGGCCAAGGGAGGGGGCTGTGGCTGTGAAAGGAGTATAACACAGGGAGAGGGCCAGACAGGGGGGCTTTGAGGGCCTAAGGACTTACTCACCCCAATCTGGAAAGTGTCTTGCAATACCTAGTGGTGACACAGTCCAATGACCAGTGTCCCAGGTGAGCTCTCATGCTGTCATTTTACACCCATTGTCAATTAACTTTTAATATTGCAAAATCCAGAGAGAGAAAGAGAGAGGGAGGGAGGGAGGGAGAATATACATATATAGGCTTCTTAAAGAGCTACATCTGTGAAAGGGAAAGTCCATAACTTCTGTTTATCTCTGCAATTATGACTCAAGTTCCTTTAAGTTCCAGAAATCAATATAGACGACATGATGAATGAGTCTAAATTGGCCTCTCTTCTTCTGACCTTGAAGTTATTAATTCTGCATCATAAATGTTTGGATATCTCTAGTAACCTTTGGAACGCCAGATTATTTCTAGAGAGAGCGCTGGCAGAATAGTAGGAAGCAGGCATTTACTCATGATTTATTACCTCAGTCAGGAACAAACCTTTCCATTACCATAATGCAGTTGGTCTACGTGTCACGGAGAAATGGCTCTAAATAATAATAATAATAATACTAATAATAATAATAGGAGGGGGAATGATGCACTTCCCATTATGGTAGCTCCAAACGCTTCCATCCATTCCCTTGTAGGAGGCCATTCACAAAAGCTAACCTTGCTTTAAGGCACTCATATCCTTATATCAGGGGGCGCAGGTGGCGCTGTGGGTTAAACCACAGAGCTTAGGACTTGCCAATCAGAAGGTCAGCGGTTCGAATCCCCGCGACGGGGTGAGCTCCCGTTGTTCGGTCCCAGCTTCTGCCAACCTAGCAGTTCGAAAGCACGTCAAAGTACAAGTAGATAAATAAGTAGCGCTCCAGCGGGAAGGTAAACAGCGTTTCCGTGCGCTGCTCTGGTTTGCCAGAAGCAGCTTAGTCATGCTGGCCACATGACCCGGAAGCTGTCTGCGGACAAACGCCGGCTCCCTTGGCCAATAAAGCGAGATCAGCACCGCAACCCCAGAGTCGGTCACGACTGGACCTAATGGTCAGGGGTCCCTTTACCTTTACCTTTATCCTTATATCTGTTGTCCAGCACTGCTAAAGCTTTTGTTCTGCTCCCTCTCCAGAAATGCATGTGGACAGATTCTACTCAGCATCAGTCTTTTTAGTACTGACCATGGCATTCATCCAACACCAGTAAAGGTCAAGGAAAATTATGACAGGAATAAGGCTGGAGAGTGGAAGGGTGCTAAAGAATGATTTTATAGAGGATAAATATAAAACTGAAGAACAGAGAGGAGAATTAGTTCATCATCTAGACAACAAGTTGAAGGTTATCTCAAAAAACAAGCAGATATGGGACACTGAAAGGCTGGCCGAATAAGCAAGCCCTTGTCTGACATGGCCATTTTGGGGGCACAAATTGGGCTAGCTGCCAGAAAAGCAAGAGGAAGAGCTGCCCTCAAAACACAACAGGAGATTTTTTTTAAATTTTTATTTTTTGCATTGGGCTGTGCCCTAGGCAAAGATGATGATGATGATGATGATGATGATTATTATTATTATTAATTTATTTATAATATGACAACAATTATTCAATCATAATTTTGACATTTCAAACTCCGACTCCCTTCTCCCTCTTTCTGTGGTTCCTTTACATTTCTTTTCATCTTCCTGCATACTCCAAATTATCTCAACATATTCTTTTGTATATCTGTTCCCACATATATCCCATATATATTTTGAAACTGCAGGTTTTTACATTAATCCCGCCAATGTCTTCATCTGCTTACGGCTTGTTTGTAAACACTCAAGAAACCATTTCCATTCCTTTCTTAAAAATAAATAAATAATTGGTATCTTGGTTTCTCATTCTCCTGGTAAGTTTCGCCATTTCCGCATAGTCCATTAACGTCTGTCTTCATTCTTCTCTCGTCGGGACCCTGGGCACGGATTTTTGAGGGGTGGAGTCGTTCTAGCAGTGTTGGTGGCTAGGGCTGGGGTACCATGGTGGGCACCCTGTTCACCCCACCCCAAGCACCCACACACCCACCTGGCACTCCTGCCCACCCCTGGCACATGCGTACAACCCCTCCAGTGTGCTTGCCCACCTTGAGTGCCATGAACTCATGCAACACTGCTGCCCTGGGATCACCCAAATGTAGATGATCTCTGTGGTCCCACCCTTAGGTCTGCATACTTGAGTCAAATAGCTCCATCCTTGGGTCACAAGAGTTGGCAACTGCGGACACAGAATGAGAAAGCAAAAGAACACAGTGGAAATGGCAAAGGTGTTTAAGAAAGAAAATAACAGATGCTGGAGATGTAAAGAAAAGGAAGGTACATTTTATCATATGTGGTGGGAATGCAAATGCATTTAAAAATATTGGGAAATGATATACCGTATTTTTCGCACCATTGGACGCACTTTTTTCCTCCTAAAAAGGAAGAGAAAATGTCTTTGCGTCTTATGGAGCGAATGTGTGGTCCCTGGAGCCAAATCGCTGTTGCCCTGCGCTGCTGGGGTGCTCTTTGGTGGTGGGGGGAGGAGCCACGGTGCTCTGCCGGCAGCCTCCGCTTTCCCCTGAAGCCCCGGCAACGTTTGCAAGCAGCGGGAAGGCTGTGCGCTCCTGGGCTGCTCTTTGGGGGTGGGGGGAGGAGCCAGACTGCTCTGCCTCCAGCCTTTGCTTTCCCCTGAAGCCCGGACAAGGTTTGCAAGCAGAGGAAAGGCTGTGCGCCTTTGCCCTGCGCTCCTGGGGTGCTCT